CTCCTCCCTTCGCTCTTTCTTTCGCTAAATGAATACGAAAGATCTTAGATGCATAATAACAGGAAGGACGACAAATGCAAAAATAAAAACCAGCAAACGAGATCCCGCAAACAAAAACACAGGCAACAGGAATCGAATGCTTTGTTTGCCCGCGGAGGCTTACCCATTTCGTGAGCAGACGAAATGGGAAATATATGAATTATATAGTTGCTTAATTCTCCTTTTAGAGGTTATAATAATAACAGTTATATAAATATATGTGTGCGCTCTCTCTCTCTCTCTCTCTCTCTCTCTCTCTCTCTCTCTCTCTCTCTCTCTCTCTCTCTCTCTCTCTCTCTCTCTCTCTCCTCCCCCTCTCTCTCTCTCCCCTCCCCTCTCTCTCTCTCCCCTCCCCTCTCTCTCTCTCCCCTCCCCCCCTCTCTCTCTCTCCCTCCCCCACTCTCTCTCTCCCTCCCCCTCTCTCTCTCTCCCTCCCCTCTCTCTCTCTCCTCCCCTCCCCCCCTCTCTCTCTCTCCCCTCCCCCCCTCTCTCTCTCCTCCCCCTCCCCCCCTCTCTCTCTCTCCCCTCCCCCCCCCTCTCTCTCTCCCCTCCCCCCCCTCTCTCTCTCCCCTCCCCCCCTCTCTCTCTCTCCCCTCCCCCTCTCTCTCTCCTCCCCCTCCCCCTCTCTCTCTCCCCTCCCCCCTTTTCTCTCTCCCCTCCCCCCTCTCTCTCTCCCCTCCCCCTCTCTCTCTCCCTTCTTCCACCCCTCTCTCCCTTCCTCGCTCGTATGCCCGTCGCTTGCACGCCCATCGCCCACCCGCGACGGGCGTGCGAGCGATGGGCGGGCGGGCGATGGGCGTTCGAGCGGTGGGCGGGCGAGCGATGGGCATGCGAGCGATGAGCGGGCGAGCGACGGGCGTGCGAGCGATGGGCGGGCGAGCGATAGGCGGGCGTGCGATGGCCAGTGTGTCGTGGGCTGTCCTCCCGCTGCGCAAGTATTCGTAATGGGATGATGAGGGGCACGGCGCTTCGTCCATGACCCCATAATTACAGCGGCGGCGGGATCCATAGCGTGGCCGCGTGTGTCCTCTTTACTTACTTACTTACTTACTTATTTACTTCCTTGCGTACCTCTACCTCCCCCTCCCTCGCCCCCCTCCTCCTCCTCGGTGGCCATTGTCCCTCACTGCACTTCCTTTGCTCTCCTCCCCATCGCCTTCGCTTCCCTTTTGTTCAGCCTTTCCTTTTCCTTCTCCATCCCCTTCGTTTCGATCTCATCTCCTTCCTTTCGTCCGCATCTAATTTCCATTAGCATTTTCCCCTTCCATCATTCCCTTTTTTTCTCCCATTTATTTCCCTTCCCTTCCCTTTCCTTCCCTTCACTTCCCTTCCCTCCCCTTTTCCTTCCTTCCCTTTTCCTTTCCCTCACTTCCTTCTTTCCTTCCTCCGACTGGTTTCTCTTCCTTCCCTTGTCCCTTCCGCCTTTCCGTACTCCGACAGAGGTCGAGGCGCCCAAACGCCCAAACGCGAAGCCTCGACGATCTCCGGCCAGCGCGATCGCCGTCCCTCCCCCCCTCCCCTGCCCCTCCATTCCCCCACACAATCCAGCCACGATCGCCATGAGACACGGAGGGCCTGCCCCACCCCCCCACCCCTAGGAACACAACTTTCCCACGCTGTAGCGGCCGCGTCGCGTTCCCGCTGCACTTTTTAAAACATCTGCGGAGTCGTGTCTCTATTGAGGGAAAAAAACACTCGTCAGCACATTGTCTCCAACGAGGAGTTAGTGGGTATAATACCTAGCATCATCCTGCTCAGCTTCTTTACGCTATCGCTCTATCCATTCCGCTACCTCTCCTCCCCTCCCCTTTCCTCCTTCTTTCTTTCTTTCTTTTCCTTCTTTCTTATTTTCTTTCTTTCACCCCCTTCCTTTCCTTCTTTCTTTTTTTCTTTCTTTCAACCCCTTCCTTTCCTTCTTTCTTTTTTTCTTTCTTTCACCCCCTTCCTTCCCGTCCTCCTTCCTACTTCCTCTCTCCTTACATTTTCCTTGCTTCCCTCCTCCCTTCCTCTTTTCCTTCATTATTTCTCTTCTTTTATTCCTTCCCTTCCACCCTTCCTCTCTCCTTCCCTCCCTCCTTCCTTCCTTCCTTTTCCTCCCTCCTTCCTTCCTTCCTTCCTTCCTTCCTTCCTTCCTTCCTTCCTTCCTCCCTCCCTCCCTCCCCCCCCCCTCCCCTAGCGAGTGTCGAACATCCCGTAGGGAGTTAACGAGTTCAAACCGCGTCCATCTCGCGAGGAACTCGACACTCCGCCCACAGCCAGCGACGCGACCCCACTAACGTGTCATCCGTATGTGACACCCGCCCACACGCGCGTGTCAAGCATGACTGGCGAGACAGGACACCTACACGGGCGCCCGCCAGCCAGCGCCGGGGCTGTCGCGATGTCACCCCCGCGGGCCGATGCCACTCCTCAAGCCAACGGCAGCAGGTATGCTGTCAGCACGAATGGCACCGCAGGGCTCTTCGCCCCTCCCTGACTGCCTCCCTCCCTTTCTTCCCCCTCTCTCTTTCCTTACCCACGCCTTTCCTTCCCTTTCTTCCTTCTTCCCTCCCTTCTCCTTCCCTTACTCTCTCCTTCCTTTCCTTTACTTTCCTTCCTTCCTTCCTCCCTTCATCCCTTTCCCTCCCTTCTTCCCTTTTCGCTCATTCGTTCCTTTCTATCCTTCCTTCCTTCCTTCCTCCCTTCCTTCCTCCTTCCCTCCCTTCCTGTCTCCCTCCCTCCATCCTTCCTTCCTTCCTTCCACACACACACACACACACACACACACACACACACACACACACACACACACACACACACACACACACACACACACACACACACACACACACAATCACTCACCCATCTCCACATGCAAATCTATTCATTTATCAATCAATCACTCTATCTATGAATCTATCAATCTATATTTTTGTAATTGCCTGCCTATCTATCTATCTATCTATCTATCTATCTATCTATCTATCTATCTATCTATCTATCTATCTATCTATCTATCAGAATACGCATGTATACCGTACCGATACATAACCACCTCTTTCCCACTCCCTCTACCTGTCCGTACTTAATACACAGGATAATACAACGCAAAATAAATAAATAAATAAATACAAAAAATAAATAAACAAACAAACAAACAAAAGAGATAAACAAATAAACAAACGGACATCTGGAACCCGCAGCGGAAATAGCGACGGCACAACCCGACGCCACAACACAGCTGGGCACCATAGATTACTCGGAGAGAGAAAATAAAAAGAAAATAAAAAGAGAGAGGAGAAAAAAAAAAAAACGAGAAAGAGTGAGATAAAAAAAAAAAAACATGTATTTACCGCATGATACTTGTCTGTTCCGGGAAAAATAGCATGACATTAGTAAAAAAAAAAAAAAAAAAAGAGTAGCATGCGCGTGAATTGGATAAAGAGGTCGACGGAATAAGGAATAAGGGGGGTCACACATTTCACTCACGGGCGTAGTTCACCTTCCTTCCTTCCCTCTCTCCTTCCTTTCTTCCTTCCTTCATTCATTCATTCTATCCATCCATCCATCCCTTTTTCCCTCTATCCATCCATCCATCCATCCCTTCTTCCTTCCTTCCTTCCCTCCCTCTCTCAATTCATCCTTCCTTCCTTCCTTCCTTCCTTCCTTCCTTCCATCCATCCTTCCCTCCTTCCTTCCTTCGCTCCCTCTCTCTCTCTCAATTCATCCTTCCTTCCTTCCCTCTCTCCTTCCTTCCTTCCTTCCTTCCTTCCTTCCTTCCTTCCTTCC